GAATTCCATGTCCCCTTCACTGAGACTCTTCAATTTTTCATATTTTACCATATATGCTTCTTATCTCTCTCTCTCTCTCCTTTCTGTCTCTTTCTCCCATCCTCTCTGTACACACATACACACCCCCCCCACACACACTCATTATAACTCGTCTTTTTCAGAACCTTTTGAGAGCAAGCTGCAGGCATGGTGCCCATCACTCCTAAGCCCTCCAGTGTGTTTTTCTCAAAAAGAAGGACACTTTCCTACATAATCAGGACAGCATACTACTCTCCAAATCAGAAAATCAACATTGACATAACACCACCATCCAATCCAGAGACCATTCAAGTTGTGCCAAATGTAAATTTTTTTTTTTTCCTTTCTGGTTGAGAATCCTGTCTAGGAATTTGTGTTGTCTTCAGCTATCATTTCTCTTCATACACACACAATCTGGAACACTTCCTCAGTCTTTGTTTTATCTCCTTGATTCTTTTTAAAAGTACAGACTTTACATTTAATTGAATATCCGGCTCTACTCAGGTCCATCTAACATTTCCTCATAACCAAACTCAGGTAATGCATTCTTCAAATGATTAGAAGGAAGTGAAGCTGTGTTCTTCTTAGCGCATCAACTTTAGAAGGTGCATGTTGTCAACATGTCCCCCAACTGGTGCTTTGACTTTGACCTTTCTGTGTTGGTGACTGCTGGTTTTTCCTACCTGAAATTTACCATCCCCCTCCCTTTGTAACGGAGCCCTGGTTGCACAGTATTTAAGAGCTCAGCTGCTAACCAAAAGGTTGGCAGTTCAAATCCACCAGCTGCTCCTTGGACACCGTATGGGCAGGTCTACTCTGTCCTACAGGGTTGCAATAAGTTGGAATCGACTGGACGGCAATGGGTTTGGTTGAGTTTTTTTTCCCCTTTTGTAATAAATTATTACTTTGTGGGGAGGTTATTACAAAATTCCTTTTCCTCATCAAACTTGCATTGACCAACCTTAGTTACCACTGACAACTCTCACCTAAATCAACCACCTCTATGCTGGTTGCCAAATGGTGATTCTCTATTTTCATCATTTGTCATTTTTAGACATTCACCGCAACAAGCATTTATTGAAGGGATTTTATGGGTCAGATAGTTGTCAAGGGCTGTTCAGGGTTTAAGATCTTCCCCTGCTTACAAGCTAACAAGTTAATTTATTACTGTTTCGTGGCTGTCGGCAGAAAAACAAGACTCCTGGGTCAGAGACAAAGGGCTTTATTATCATGGCAAAAACAGTAGCCAGAGCTTCATGTTCATTTGTGTTGGTTCCTCATGCCCCCCAAGTCCCACCGGGGGTGACAGAAAAGACCCATCTTGGATGCCTGTACACACAGTCAATTGCAGTCGAGAAGAGGAGCCCCCGAGCTTGGGGGATTCACCACTTCTTTTTTTTTTTTATTGTTGTGCTTTAAGTGAAAGTTTACAATTCAAGTTAGTGTCTCATACAAAAATTTATACATACATTGTTTTGTGACCCTACTTCCTCTCCCTATACTGTGACAACACACTCTTCCTTTCCACCCTGGATTTCCAGTGTTCATTCAACCAGCTCCTGACCCTCTCTGACTTCTCATCTCGCCTCTGGACAGGAGCTGCCCATTTAGTCTCACGTATCTGCTTGAGCTAAGAAGCACACTCTTCACGCGTATCATTTTATGTCCCATAGTCCAGTCTAATCTTTGTCTGAAGAGTTGGTCTGGGGAATGGTTTTAGTTTTGGGCTAACAGAGAGCCCAGGGGCCATGTCTTCCAGGGTCCCTCCAGTCTCAATCAAACCATTAAGTCTGGTCTTTTTACCAGAATTTGAGTTCTGCACCCCATTTTTCTCCTGTTCCATCAGGGACTCTCTGTTGTGTTCCCTGTCAGGGAGGTCATTGTGGTAGCCAGGCACCATCTAGTTCTTCTGGTCTACAGCTGATGAAGTCTCTGGTTTATGTGGCCCTTCCTTTCTCTTGGGCTAATACTTTGCTTGTGTTCATGGTGTTCTTCATTCTCCTTTACTCCCAGGTAGGTTGGGACCGATTGGTGCCTCTTAGATGGCAGCTCGCTAGCTTCTAAGACCCCAGATGCCGCTCACCAAAGGGGATTCACCACTTTTATAGTAAACAGAAGCAAGCCTGCTTCTTGGCAGGGGGGAGAAGTTACCTCATATTTCAAGGTTTCTCCTTGCAAATACAACCCTGAGAAATGGCCTGGAGGAAGAGTAGTCACGGCTTTGCATTCTCGGCATACCAAAAAAGAACTTGCAGGGAAGCTCAGGGCCCATGGAGATTGCCTCTCCCAATAGTACTGTGCTGGGGAGAAAAATATACTTTTTTAAAATAAACTAGACCAAACCTAAAAATAAAATTTTCTGTGGAAAAAAAAACCCAGAAATTTTAATTGAAATTGAGACATACAACATTGGTGATCCACCTCCACCACATTCCAATAATGCTGTTGCTTGCCATGAGTCTGTCGTCATCATAATATTGATGAGTTCATAGGAGATTGTTGAAAATTTCATGTGATTAGTTAAAAATCATTCTTTTGAATGTTACGGGTTTTTTTTTAAATTTAAACTTAGCCTTCCTTAGTTGAATATAGCTATGCTTTAATAGTTTTTCCCAAACATGCTGAAAAGAAATTATGATGTTTTTAAATATAGTAGTGATCATAGTAACAACAACCATTAAGTAAAAATAAGACAAAACCAAAAAACTCAGTTGCTGTCCAGTTGATTCCCACTCATAGCGATCCCATGTGTTGCAGGGTTGAATTGCACTCCATAGAGTTTTCAAGGCTGTGACCTTTTGGAAGCAGATCACCAGGCCTTTCTTCCAAGGTGCCACTGGGTGGGTTCAAACCACCAACCTTTGGCGAGTAATTGAGCGTGTAACTGCACCCCCCACCCCCACCCCATGGACTCCTACGGCAAAAATAACGGGTAACATATCTTGAGGGCTTACGGCAACAATAACGGGTAACATATCTTGAGGGCTTACTAGTGACAAGCACCATTGGAAGAACTTCTAAGTATTAGCACACTTCATGCTTACAATAACCCTATGAAATATGCACTATTATTTTCCATAAGAAGAAACTAAGGCACACAGAGGTTAAGTAACTTACCTCATGTCACAAAGCTAGAGTATCAGTTAGGATGCTTTCAGCTACCATTGAAAGAAACCCCTAACCGTAAGTACATTTATTATCTGACAGTACAGGAAGACCAGAAGTTTGATAGGTTTCAGAGCTAGTTGAGTTAATGATGCAACAAAGTAATCAATCAAAATGTTTTCCATCTTTTTAAAAGCTCATCATTCAAGTACTGGCTTTGCCCTCTGGATGTCCCTCTGGTGGTCACAAGTTGACTGCAGCAATTCTTAGCATCAGATCTAGGCATAGCAATGTCCAGAGCCATGAAGGCAACCTCTCCTCTGTGTAAAAAGCTTTCCACAAGCCCCTCAACCTTTCCACAAGTCACATTCTCTAGAACTGGGCTACATGCCCACCCCTAAACATTCACTGCCAAGAAGAATGGGATCACCATGATGGGCTTAGACCAGACAGGAGCGACCCTTGGCACTGGGGATATGGTCCCCCTCCCCTGAGTTCTGTGGGGCATAAATCTGAGACTCTGTCAGCAAACAAAGAAGAGGGGGATTGCATGGGGTGCCCACCACCAGTGTCTGCTCCAGCTAGTCGCTGAGGAGCCAGGATGGAAGCACAGACACTCTACACTTAAAAGTCTGATAATTCTATTTGGGCTTTTGTGGCTCTCTTTCTTAGCTGACTTTGTAGAAACAGTTGTGGTAAGTTTGATCACAACGACAGAGAGAGTGCATCCAGAAAATTGGCCTTCTGATTACTGTTTGAGATGTCTGTCATTAGAGGTCTGTAGGAAGTATTTACAAATACTTGCTCCTGGCCTATTCAGGTTTTTCAAGAATACAATTTGAAAATCAAATACAGTATTGGGTTGTGATGACCTTAAAGAAGCAATTCTCAAGTTTTTTGGTTTTAGGACTCCTTTATATTCTTAAAAATTATTGAGGACCTCAAAGAGCTTTAGTTTATGTTGTTTATATCTACCAATAGTTACTATGTTAGAAATTAAAAAGAATGAAAAATGCATTTATATTAATTTAAAAATAACAATAATAAACCAATTATATGTTAATAAAAATAACTTATTTTATGGAAAAATAACTGTTTTTCAAAACTTTAATGGAAAAGGTGGCATTGTTTTACATTTTTGCAACTCTCTTTAGTGCCTGGCTTAATGGCAGACAGCTAAATTTTCATGTCTGCTTCACCATTCAGTTTGTGGTGCATTCATATAACGTGTAGCCTCTAGAAAACTCCACTGTACACTTGTGGTAGAATGGTAGTGGAAAAGGGAAATAAAATCTTAATATTGTTATGAAAATAAGTTTGACCTTGTGGATTCCCTAAAAACATGTCTGGGAACCCCAGTGGACCTCATACTTTGAGGTCTGTTAAAGTATTTCTGCGTGATGTGCCCATTCGTAGCTAAGGATATCAAGAGAAGGCACTTAAATTGATCATATCTCAGAAAATGAAAATCAGATTTCTAGTGAGCATCAGTGGAATAATATCCAACATACAGGCAATCTGATAATCCTGCACAGTCCTGGAGAAAACCTCAAACCACAGACTGATAATTCAAGAAGTTTCCTTACTTCACCAATGCCTTACCCTGTTGCTGTCAAGTCCAGTCCTGACTCATAGCGACCCTGTAAGACAGAGTAGACCTGCCCCATAGGGTTTCCAAGGAGTGCCTGTGTGATTTGAACTGCCAACGTTTTGGTTAGCAGCCATAACTCTTAACCACTATGCCACCAGGGTTTCCTCAACAATGCCTTAGGATATTTAAAACTTAACATGATTTACACAAACATATTTGCACTAACAGATAATTTAAAGAAATGTCTATTAAATAAAGCATACTTTATCTCCATTTTTTTTTCTAGACTTAACATTTCAGATGATTTAAAGATTGGCTTTTTCACCACAGACCATGCTGCTCAAACAGATCCCAGTGAAATTTTGCCAATAAAAGAGTTGACTTCAGCTACACAAGGGCTAGTGCAGGTAAATTTGGATTTATTTTTAGACTTCTGAGATAAGTTTTGGTATTTGTTGTCTTTATGTCTCTTTCATTGACAGAACTGAAATCCTTAAAATTTGTAAAATATTAGCATCTTTGACAAATAGAACTAGATGACATTGTGTTTGAAAAATTAATATAAGCTACTAATATTTACATCGTATTTATATACGTTAACTTGCTTAGTGAAGTATTTTGTTACTCTCTTTGGAATTCTTTTGACATTTTGACATTATCTATTTATGATTCTTTTATAAAATTAAAAAAAAATTTTTTGGCATGTACAAGAATGTAGAGAATAATATAATAAATAACTGTGATATCTACCATACAGCTTTGTCAGTTTTTTACATTCTATCATATTTCCTTTGGATCTTTTTTTTTTTTAAAGAAACATAACATACATTGGATATCAAGAGCTATTTTTTTTTTTTGGTAATTTTTTTTCTTTTCTTTTTTTTCATTGTACTTTAGATGAAGGTTTACAGAACAAATAGTTTCTCATTAAACAGTCAGCACACATATTGTCTTACGACATTGGTTAGCAACTCCATGACATGTCAACACTCTTCCTTCTCGACCTTGGAGGACCGTTTTTTTTTTTTTGGTGAAAATACACATAGCCAAATTTACACCATTTCAAAAGTTTTTACATGTACAATTCAGTGACATCGATTACATTCTTCCAGTTGTGCTGCTATTCTCACTATCTTTTTCCAAATTATTCCATCACCATTATCTTCAACTCACTGCCCCCTAGGCTTCCCATCAAACCTTTTGAGTTGCTGTTGTCAATTTGATCTCACA